TCATATAAACAGCGGCCAAAAATAGAAGGAGTTATCGTAAGTTAATACAATTTGGTACATGTGCTTATTATTGGCCTAAATAGCAAATGTCACCCTTTTTGGCCTATAAAATCTTTAATATTCAAACAAATTCAATGAAAAGTGGCAATTTACATTTAATTAGGCCTCTAAAGCAACTGACCAAAAACTGGGTAGATCGGCCCAAGATTCGATATACCTCCCATACAAAGGGTCTTGAAAATGTTACTATTTTGGGCTATATAATCTTTAATATTCAACCAAATTCAATGAAAATTGGCAATTTACATTTACTTATGGCTATAAAGCAACGGACCAAAAACTGGGTAGATTGGACCAAGATTTGATATACCTCCCATACAAAGGGTTTTGAAAAATCCGCTTTTTGGACCTATAAATTTTCATGTCCTCGTCCAAATTACATCAAATTTGGGCGAAGAAAGTAACAGGTGCTGTAATTTAGTTGTTGGCCCATATTTCAGGTACCTACCATACCAAAAGTCCCTAAAAATTTAACTTTCTGTACTATAAAATCGTTATATGCAGCTAAATTAAGTATAGTAGTTTTATTTTTGTTATTTTTATTATAATATAATAAATATTTGATATCCTTTAGTAACCAATAAATTACTTGTTTATCATTCACAAAATTTTCAAAACACACATCAGAGATATATATTTGAAATATTGACTTCCCAAATGTACGATTTAGTATTATCCACGTTATAATCTCGGGCCTTTACTTTATGCCTGTTTAAGGATATTACTAGGTCGGATTGTAATATAAAATTCTAAATAAAATCCTTATTTAACTCGGCTTTAACAAAAGTTCGGGCTGCTACTAATTATTTGTTGGCATCTTGTGAAAGTCGCTCAAAGGGTATTGTACTGCACTTTGCATATTCCATGCCATGAACTAACATTTTTCTGTATAAACTTTCCACAAAGGTAATTCATGTGCGACATCTAAATTTAGATTATACGATTATGTCTCAAATGATCTGATAAATAAGTATAATCTTCAAACTGACTGAAAATTTATTTAAAAGCTATATTTTAAAACCAATTCTCCCATATCTTCGCTTCGAATAACGTTTTTACCACTTAATTGCATATTTTATGTAAAATATTGTATTATTTCTATGTTCTGAATACATATTATCCTTCCTAATTGACCCTCAATAACTTATTTAATTGTATACATAACATATTTGACCATTCGCTTCTAACCATTTCATGAATATGCCATATATTTTAATAAGGTGGTCACCAAAAAAGTTAAATAACTCTTAGGACCGCAGGACTCCGCAGCTAATTTTTTTCATTCCTTAAATAACACACTTTTCACTACTCAAATAAAAAAATTAGAGCTAACCTTTTTAAACTTTTTTTCTGCTCCACTAATTTCAAAATTTGTTTTAAAAATTTGATGAACTAAGTACTACAAGTGTGGACGACTGTATACACCATATGATATCTATATACATACAAACTAAAGAGAATCCTAGTTTGAACATCCACAGCAACCAAACTAAACACTTTTATAATAACCGTTAATTTGAATACTCAAATATTTGAGCATCAGAAAAACACACCCATTTTTCGAAAATATGGTAAAAAATAAGTTTATAAATAATTATAAGATTTGAACCTTTGTAGAGACAAAACTACTTGACATATCGATATAAAATTTCATATTTATTCTAATTGGAGTGTTTTCTAGTAATCCTTATCAAAAAAATTGTCCTCCGTGGTACTTGGTTTTGACCATTTTTGGCCGCGGTCGTGACACTGTGCGACGTGGTGCTATCAAAATAGATCGACACTAAATTCGTGGAAATGCAAATTTCGCGGTTTTCGACTTTTTCTCACCTTTTAAACCTTCCCTAGACCTCCACGAACATTTCAAGACTAATATCAGATAAATCCGTTCAGCCGTTCCTGAGTTTTAGCGAGACTAACGAACAGCAATTCATTTTTATATATATAGATAGATTTTGTATTCATTGACATTTGAAATTTTACGTTACTAGGGAGATATAAAGACAAAACCTCCACATTTCTTAATATGTCGAAAATTTTATTTTGTTACCTATCGATAGAAACAAATTATGAATATAATTTGGACCAAGAAAAAATTTGTAAAGTTGTACACCAAGGTCAGTTTTATCCACTAAATGTTGATAAATCACTAGTTCCCATTCCCATAGTGTTTAAATTATAATTGTGAACTGTATAGGGATTAGGAAGGCAACATCGATTATGATCGAATTAATCGCCTAAATCTTTAGTAAACGTTTTGTATTTTAATTACAAGTTTTAATTGAGAAATCTAGTTCAGATCATGAACCTGACTTTGTTCAACACTACAATGTATAACTTTTCACTTTTTGTCACTAAAAATGTATATCATAACATTTAATCTCACATAAATATCTACATCCTTAAAGTAAACCAAGTGTTGGTGCCAATTTATCCACCACCTTATCCACCATTGTTTTATGTCTCATACAATGTTCCGACAGGAAGCCATCATAGCGCATTAAATTTTATTGATTTCTAAGCAGTGAGGAAAATCAATTCCTAAACTCTCACGTGAAACAACGGAAAACTTTCGCTGCAAAAGAAAAAGTGTTAACCCCCAAAGGCGATAGAAAAATGCGATGAAATGAAATTGCTGAGAAGAAAAAAAAGAAAAATAAAAGAAAATAATAGACCCAAACGCACGAGTTCTAAATGTTAATTTAAGAGGAACAGACGACGTAGCTGTTCATCAAAATTATAATTATGAAAAGTTATCGGGTTTTGGCTGGTGACATGCCACCAGCAGTGAACAACAATAAATTGGTGACTAATGTGTATCAAAAGATGCAACAATGATGAATATGTTATTGGAAGTAATTTATGTGTGTGTGTATGGGGAACAAAACTAAATTATTGGAATATCCGCAGATTTATGTGACACATGTATGATGTTGTTGTTGTGTGTACGTGCTTGAGGTGGCCGGCCAGGCGACATGAATCCATCATAATTATTATTATGGTCAGCCAAACAAGATCCAAATGCTGCTGTGGATGATTGCATTGTACATTATTTGGCGAATAAAATGCCGCCATGTGCCTATGAAAGATCTTAGCTGAAGCGAGAGTGTGCGTGTGTGGCAATCGGTAGCAACTGGCATTTGGCCAGGTTAAAATATATCGCTAATGTTGGCATACCTCAACGGATGTCTAACGCAGTGACATGGATGATGGCTTGAGAGTTAAGAGACAGCTTCATATATTTATTGCCGGCTATGCAGCCGCAGCATCAGTGTGTAATGATCATTGCTGGCTTGTTATTCTTTTGACCGGCTTTAGTCAGATATTGTTTTTTTCTACGGCTTCTTTTATTAGTTGTATGAGGATTTTGTCTTTCTAATAATTGTTTTTATTTTGAATTTCTTTTGTTGCGTTTTTTGTTTTGTCTGCCATAGAAAATAAAAGCATTTGAAATTGTTAACGCCGTTTGATGTTGTCCATTTGCGCATAACTTCCATACTGACCTAGAAATTTTATATTTTTATTTAACGTGAACTGATCGAAACGAAACAAGCCAAACGATAATAACAAGAAACAAATGCAGTGCAGTGGAAATAATGCAGTACATGCTGGGTGAGGGTTGTCAATGTAGAGGTTTTGGGGATTATGACGTTTTTTACGTTGAGTTGTGAACGGAATTCAAATTTATAAAGGAAATTTATAAGTTAAAGACCTATGAAGATAGATAGAGAGACCCTGAAAGCTAGTCTCTAAAATCGTATAGCCCTAAAAAAATATTTTATAAAAAATAGTTATCCACGCCCATAGTATCCCCTGAAAAAATATTTTTAAAAAAAAATAGTTATCCACGCCCATAGTATCCCCTGAAAAAATATTTTTTTAAAAAAATAGTCACGCCTATAGTGGCTCCTGGAAAAATATTCTATATTCTATAGGCTCTTTTCATTCTTTAAAAAATCCACGCCTATACTGGCTCCTGGAAAAATATTCTATATTCTATAGGCTCTTTTCATTCTTTTAAAAATCCACGCCTATAGTGGCTCCTGGAAAAATATTCTATATTCTATAGGTTCTTTTTTATTCTTTTAAAAATCCACGCCCATAGTGGCTCCTGAAGAAATATTTGAAAAAAATCACGCCTATACTATCCCCTGAAAAATATTCTTTGAAAAAAATCACGCCTATAGTATCCCCTGAAAAAATATTCTTTGAAAAAAATCACACCTATAGTACCCCCGAAAAAATATTCTTTAAAAAATCCACGCACATAGCAGACCCTGAAAATTTTTTCTTTAAAAAATCCACGCACATAGCAACCCCTGACAAATTTTTCTTTAAAAAATCCACGCCCATAGTAACCTCTGAAATAATATACTTTTAAAAATCCACGCCTATAGTGGCTCCTGAAAACAACAACATTGACAACACTCATCTATATTTATCGAACGTACCATAAGCGTGTACGAACATTTGTTATTTGCTTTGTTGTTTACGTCTGCATCCATCCCGACATTCACCTTCATACACATGGATCAACTGAAGACGACGGTCAGCTAGCCAATGGAAACATTCGAATGGAAACTAAGTCTCACCTTAGACTCAGCATCCTCAGATTATTCTTCTGATACATAAAAGCAGTTGCCTAGATAATTTTCTTGTCATTTTATTAGCTCAGCTCCTTGCAATCACATCACTCAATCAGTCATAACATTCGCAGCACTTTCGATTATAATTTTCTTTGTTTGTGGAAAAGTGAAAATTACTCAGGAAAAAAATAAAGACGAAATAAAATTAGTTATCCTAAATAAGCAAATAAAAAATGTCCTGTAACATTATTGTGATGGTGATAAGTTTTAGCTGTGTCTTCCGAATGGAAACTGTAACGGCTACAAATTCAACTACGAGTTCTTATAGTTCTCGCACCTCCCGTTCTTTGCTGACCAAAACGGATGCCTATGTTGTGAAAAATCAAAAACAGTGTCTTGAAACTCGTAGCATTGTGTCGTGTATTAAATATAAAGCATCGAAAATTGTTTGGAAATTGGCTACGAATAGTTTGGGATATTTCCCGCAACAAAATAGTCGTGAAATGGCTGACCGGAGAATGAGTTTTGTGCAATTGGAAGAACCATCGGATATAAGTTTTTTCGGTGATGTTAGAAGTTTTGATGGTATGTGCAGCTGAGGCTTTGAATTTTTACGGAATATTTTTTTTCAGGAGCCACAATAGGCGTGGATTTTTTAAAGAATGTTGTTTCAGGAGCTACAATAAGCGTGGATTTTTTAAAGAATATTTTTTTAAGAATATTTTTTCAGGAGCCACAATAGGCGTGGATTTTTTAAAGAATATTTTTTTAAGAATATTTTTTCAGGAGCCACAATAGGCGTGGATTTTTTAAAGAATATTTTTTCAGGAGCCACAATAGGCGTGGATTTTTTAAAGAATATTTTTTTTAAGAATATTTTTTCAGGAGCCACAATAGGCGTGGATTTTTTAAAGAATATTTTTTTTAAGAATATTTTTTCAGGAGCCACAATAGGCGTGGATTTTTTAAAGAATATTTTTTTTTAAGAATATTTTTTTTAAGAATTTTTTTTTAAGAATATTTTTTCAGGAGCCACAATAGGCGTGAATTTTTTAAAGAATATTTTTTTTAAGAATATTTTTTTTAAGAATATTTTTTTTAAGAATATTTTTTCAGGAGCCACAATAGGCGTGGATTTTTTAAAGAATATTTTTTTTAAGAATATTTTTTCAGGAGCCACAATAGGCGTGGATTTTTTAAAGAATATTTATTTTAAGAATATTTGTTCAGGAGCCACAATAGGCGTGGATTTTTTAAAGAATATTTATTTTAAGAATATTTTTTCAGGAGCCACAATAGGCGTGGATTTTTTAAGGAATATTTTTTCAGGAGCCACAATAGGCGTGGATTTTTTAAAGAATATTTTTTTTAAGAATATTTTTTCAGGAGCCACAATAGGCGTGGATTTTTTAAAGAATATTTTTTCAGGAGCCACAATAGGCGTGGATTTTTTAAAGAATATTTTTTCAGGAGCCACAATAGGCGTGGATTTTTTAAAGAATATTTTTTTTAAGAATATTTTTTCAGGAGCCACAATAGGCGTGGATTTTTTAAAGAATTTTTTTTTTAAGAATATTTTTCCAGGAGCCACAATAGGCGTGGATTTTTTAAAGAATATTTTTTTTAAGAATATTTTTTCAGGAGCCACAATAGGCGTGGATTTTTTAAAGATTTTTTTTTTTTTAAGAATATTTTTCCAGGAGCCACAATAGGCGTGGATTTTTTAAAGAATATTTTTTTTAAGAATATTTTTTCAGGAGCCACAATAGGCGTGGATTTTTTAAAGAATATTTTTTTTAAGAATATTTTTTCAGGAGCCACAATAGGCGTGGATTTTTTAAAGAATATTTTTTCAGGAGCCACAATAGGCGTGGATTTTTTAAAGAATATTTTTTTTAAGAATATTTTTCCAGGAGCCACAATAGGCGTGGATTTTTTAAAGAATATTTTTTTTAAGAATATTTTTCCAGGAGCCACAATAGGCGTGGATTTTTTTCTTAGAATATTTTTTTTAAAGAATATTTTTCCAGGAGCCACAATAGGCGTTGATTTTTTAAAGAATATTTTTTCAGGAGCCACAATAGGCGTGGATTTTTTAAAGAATATTTTTTCAGGAGCCACAATAGGCGTGGATTTTTTAAAGAATATTTTTTCAGGAGCCACAATAGGCGTGGATTTTTTAAAGAATATTTTTTCAGGAGCCACAATAGGCGTGGATTTTTTAAAGAATATTTTTTCAGGAGCCACAATAGGCGTGTATTTTTTAAATAATATTTTTTTTTAAGAATATTTTTTTTAAGAATTTTTTTTTAAGAATATTTTTTCAGGAGCCACAATAGGCGTGGATTTTTTAAAGAATATTTTTTCAGGAGCCACAATAGGCGTGGATTTTTTAAAGAATATTTTTTCAGGAGCCACAATAGGCGTGGATTTTTTAAAGAATATTTTTTCAGGAGCCACAATAGGCGTGGATTTTTTAAAGAATATTTTTTCAGGAGCCACAATAGGCGTGGATTTTTTAAAGAATATTTTTTCAGGAGCCACAATAGGCGTGGATTTTTTAAAGAATATTTTTTCAGGAGCCACAATAGGCGTGGATTTTTTAAAGAATATTTTTTCAGGAGCCACAATAGGCGTGGATTTTTTAAAGAATATTTTTTCAGGAGCCACAATAGGCGTGGATTTTTTAAAGAATATTTTTTCAGGAGCCACAATAGGCGTGGATTTTTTAAAGAATATTTTTTCAGGAGCCACAATAGGCGTGGATTTTTTAAAGAATATTTTTTCAGAAGCCACAATAGGCGTGGATTTTTTAAAGAATATTTTTTCAGGAGCCACAATAGGCGTGGATTTTTTAAAGAATATTTTTTCAGGAGCCACAATAGGCGTGGATTTTTTAAAGAATATTTTTTCAGGAGCCACAATAGGCGTGATATTTCTTCAGGGGTTATATAAGGCGTGGATTTATTAAAGAATATTTCTTCAGGGGTTATATAAGGCGTGGATTTATTAAAGAATATTTTTTCTTATATAAGGCGTGGATTATTTTTTAAAGAATATTTCTTCAGGGGTTATATAATTTTTTAAAGAATATTTCTTCAGGGGTTATTTATTAAAGAATATTTCTTCAGGGGTTATATAAGGCGTGGATTTATTAAAGAATATTTCTTCAGGGGTTATATAAGGCGTGGATTTATTAAAGAATATTTCTTCAGGGGTTATATAAGGCGTGGATTTATTAAAGAATATTTCTTCAGGGGTTATATAAGGCGTGGGTTATATAAGGCGTGGATTTATTAAAGAATATTTCTTCAGGGGTTATATAAGGCGTGGATTTATTAAAGAATATTTCTTCAGGGGTTATATAAGGCGTGGATTTATTAAAGAATATTTCTTCAGGGGTTATATAAGGGAATTTTTTAAAGATTTTTTTAAGGGACTAGGAAATTTCCACACAATCATTGGCGTGGATTTATTAAAGAATATTTCTTCAGGGGTTAAATTGAAGTGAAGTCTATTGAAATTCCAAAATAATTTCTTTGTAAAGGATAATTACTTGAGGCAAAGAAAAGGAAGTAATTTGCATATCTTATTTTCGGGGACATACTTGTATAGTTAAATGTTTAATTGAAAACCACAAACAACAACAATTTTTAATTAAACTATTGTCATATTTAAAAGGATTGATAGAATGCAAAGATTTTTAAAATTCAAGCATTTGCATTTTAAATTAGTTACTAAAACTAACGGTTATGGTGTTTTTGTTTTTTTCTTTCTTTGTAGGTGACAATGAAATGAATGCCATTGTTAAATTTGTGAAACGAGCCGTTGAATATTTTGGCCAAAATCATGCCATCCAATTGACGGTGTCCAGTGAGACTGGAGCCCGCATAATTTCCAGTGATATGGGTAAGTAAAGATTTTTTTTTAAATGTTTTTGAAAGTATTTATAAAATTTCCTATAGAGCTATTTTTGAATTTTATTTTTTACTTCCGATCCTTTATATGTGTTATGGCATAATTAATCTATTTAATTATTATGTTGAGATAGTAGACCCACAATCCTTGTAAAATTATTCAGCTTAGACAGTTCTATGATTTGTGACTAGAGTTAATCACAAATTTAATTCAAATTTGGAAAACAATTTAGTATTTTTCGAATATTTCTAAAGCGATTTTCCAAAATTCGAAAATTACATTATATTACAATCCGCTTAAATTTTGTACCACATAGAGAGTGTTGTATCAAGCCGTATACACTAATCTCCATTCCAAATTTCAAGATTTACACCAGTATTGATCTCTGTGATAAATATTAAGATTCTTGTTTCAGGCGTTTCGGGGAAAATTGGGCCTAGACCTTCCATTTGGTATATCGTTCGTCATATTTCGACTAGCTGCATCGATCCATTATAATTTGTAAACATAGCCCACAGTTATGAACCAATTGTCACGAAATTTTGCCTATATGTTCGGTTCGGCCCAATATTTACGGGGAAAAATGAAACAAAATCTTTATTTAAAAGTTGATTTAGTTTTTTGGCCGCTATAATTATCTATATACGGAATACCTGAATATTACGGAATTTTTCACGTAGAAAGGAATTTGATCATGGAACAACAATGCTCTTTATACCCTTCGCCAAACTGTGGTACAGGTATTATGTCGTTGGGGATATGTTTGTCACAGGCAAAAGGAAACTATATAGACACATAGTTCCTTTTGAGAATATGCATAGACTCACTTTCTCAGTAGATTTATGCATGTCCGTCCGTCCGTCTGTATCTCTGCCCATGTTAAATTGTAAACAAAGTATAGGTCGCATTTATTATCCGAATTGGATGAAATTTGCCACAGCTCATTTAATTGGCCCTAGGACGAATCCGATTGAAATTGGAGTAAATCGGTTCAGATTTACATATAGCTCACATATATATTTTCGTCCGGTTTTATCTAAGTAGTGCACCAAACACCCAATATTTGCCCGATTGAAACAACATTTTGTACAGTGTACTAAATTAGGACCATATTGTCCGATTGAGACAAACGTTGCACAACGTACTGAATTGAGCCCAGTTTAATGTCTGTGGAGTTTTTTTGAAATCGGTTCAGAAACTATATATGCGAGATATCTAAAGCATATATAGTTTCTTCCAATCATATGTACCCGGATGTGGAATGTATGTACCCGGATGTGGAAGCTATACATAAATATTTACAAGGGTCTATCACGCTAAAAAAGTATATATAAAGTTCCGATTATGTCCATAATTTCCGATGATGATCAAATGACATTTAACCCTTTGAGCCCGAATTTTTTCCGCAATCTTAGAACAAATTTCTGTTCACAGATTTAAAAGAACTACCCTAAATAGGATAAGCTTAAAATGTGACATCGCTACATCCTTGCATTAAAGTCCAATATCAAGAAAACCAAATACAAATTCGACAGAAAAATTATTCTCTATATTCTCTTTTACAAGAATCAAAAATAATTCTGATGGCAAATTGAATACGAAGCGATTTAAATAATTTGGACTGTATACACAACTTTACCAATATTTTGAATTTTTATACCCTACACAACTATGTTGTCAGGGTATTATAGCTTTGTGCAGACCCAAGAGTTTGTACCGCCGCTAAATATTGGTCCTAGACCCACCTTTAAGTATACCGATCGTCATATCTCGAATAGCTGAGTCCATCTAGACATGTGTGTCCGTCCGCCCGTCTGTCCATTATAATTTGTAAACACGATACAGGCCACATTTATGGACCAATCTTCACGAAGAAGACCCCTATTGTTTTTGTTAAAGATCGGTTAATATTTAGGGGATGAAATGGACCAAAAACTAAATTTTTGTCTGATTTTCTGGTCGCTCTGGAGGCCACAATTATGGCCCAAACATGGTGAATTTTTACATGGAGAAGGGGATCGGGCCAAAGAATATGCATGCCTGTCTTTTGTGTGAAAAATGACAAAACGTGTATTCCATGGCGTATATATTTACTCCTGAAGGACATAGACCCGAGAAGTTGATAGTATATCCAAGATGAGTGGATGGCCTTTAAATTGATACCAATAAGATTGTAGTATGTACTCGGATGTGGGAGTTACACTTAAATATTTACAGGTGCTTACGTACGCAGATATTATTTAGTAACACATTACCACACTAGAAGCGGAAATATAGCGCGAAACGCTTTGAAATTTTCCACGAGGGTCCAGGTGTGGTCAAGGATAACGTTTATAATTTTCGGTGATGATCAGATAATAATTTCGGGATGCAGTGGACCGAAAATTTAATTTTTTTGTATTTTTTGAGTCGATCTGTAGGCCACAATTGAAAGCCGTACATCACAACACGACCCACGGTGAAGGGAATCTGGACAAATAATTAGAAGGGCTGTACTGGATATTAGTAATATTGGCTGACCTCTAGTCGGTCAAGAGGTTGCAAATATTGCGAAATATTGCCCCAGCTCAGAATAAAGAACCACACAAAGTTACATTTCCGTGGATGGTCGGCCCCGTCCGACTATACTGCTCCGCTCACTGGTTTTATTTTCGTCCATACTCAGGTCTTGACATATGAAATCCAAATAATATATATCTACTAGCTGCATATTAAATGTAAGCTCTAAAACATTTAGTTGCCTGTGGGCAACATTGGGCCACAAAGGGTTAAAGATGGAATGGATCAAAGGCTTAATTTGTTCTGTTTTTAGTCGCGCTAGAGACAACTTTTATAAGCCGAACATCACAAATTGTACACGGGGAATAATAATGATCGGTCAATATTCAGCGGATCAAATCAACCTTTCTGCGTAAAATGACAAAATTTGCATGTTATGTTGTAAATGTTCATCCCGGGAAACAAGATTCGGAAAATATACCAGGATAAGAAAGAGGAGCTATAGACTTCTAATCGGTCAAGAGGACCCATAAAAAGATAGAGTTCCGTGGTAGTTGTGTGGGGCATTACAATTGGTTATTCGGTTTTCATAAGCTGAGAAAGATCGGTTCATTCCTTCAGGTTCCTCCGCCACAAAATGTCCTGAAAATTAATTTTGTATGATAAAGCGTACGGAGTATCCAATTTAAATAAAACCCTTCAGAACTTAATATTAAAATTAAGCCTTTGGAATGTTTGATGATCCTTTGTGGAATTTCCCACACAAAGGCTCAAAATTTTTAAAAAAATTAAATGCAATATCAATGCATTTCAGTGACTGGTTAACTACCATCTAAAACTTTTGCCGAACCTTGATCAGGTGCCCCTCCAATAAGACGGGATTCATTAGTCAATTTCTTCAGGTACACTCTCTCTCTCTGTCAGCAATTTGTAAATACATCCAAGCATACCATCCACCAGAAGGTAGAGTCTATACCGTTTGGAAATCCTCGAAATATTAGTACCCATAAGTACAAAATTTCCAAAATTAACTACCTAACAGTAATCTAAATTCCAAATTTCAGGATTCTAACTCAATATTATCAGCCAAAGGCAAATTCTACCATTATTTAGCACCTTCCGTAACCTATAAGTACGAATTTTCAAAACTACCTCAACCTTGCAAATCTTTTTTTCGAATCCCAGTCCTATCCTTCACATGAATCCAAATTGTTCCATGTTTAGGACCATATAGTACATTTCGTATCCATAAGTACGAAATTTCTAAACTACCTCAATCATGTTTCTAGCAGCAATCTTAATTGATAATACCATTTAGTACTTTTCGGGATCCACATTCCAAATTTCAGGCTCTTCCCGTACCATATTTAGTATATTTCAGTACTTTTTGTACCCTTCTAGTTCGAATTTCCAAAAACCCAGCCTTATCTTACGCTTACACACTAACAACCACCACTCAGTTCAAGTTTCTAGTTTCAGCCGTTTCGTCTGCGCGATGATCTGCCAGTCACTCACTCACTTATCACTAAGATCTTTTATATATATTAAGATATATGGTGGCGGTATAAAAAAAATGTTGTGGATAATATTTTGATATCATTCCTACGAAATCCAATTTCCTTTTATATATATTAAGATATATGGTGGCGGTATAAAAAAAAAGTTGTGGATAATATTTTGATATCATTCCTACGAAATCCAATTTCACAGAGCCACGTCGAATTATAAAGAGGAAGACCAGAAAATGGATGATTCTACTGCCACTGATCATTTTGATGAAAATAACCCACCTGAAGATGACATTAGTCGGTCTAATATTGGGTGTTTTGGCCCTAAATATTTTGATTGTGGGCGGAGGGGGTTGGTTGATACACTACTTGAAGTTTAAGACGCTGTGTAAAATTCATCCACAATTGGTGCATCATCATTCGCATGCCTATGACTCGGATCCGGCTGGTTAGTTAATACACACATTTAAGGTAACTGCAATCAAAAATAAATGTTTGATTCATTCACAGATTATTCAGCGTTTGTGGGCAGCACATTCCCTGGCACATCACATGGCTCGTCGGTCAGCACGAATACACATGAAATTCTAAATCCCTACTACTATTCAAAAGATTGGAGTACCAGTAAAGCGTATCAGGGATACAATTATTTGGATACGATCAGAAAACGAATACAATAGCTAAAAATTTTCGCATATCGTAACATGTATCGATATACTCGCAAATATTTTATGAAATTCCTGCGATATTTAACACCAATATTTGGTCAAGATTTATTATTTGATTTAACCACAAATTTGTGGTAAATTTGATGACAGTAAATTATTGCAAGTGTATTAGTATTTATGTGTATTTATTGTTGTTGATTAGTATTAGTAGCGGTAATATAATGTATTTAGCGGTTAAGATGTATTTTTTTCAATGGATAATAAAATTAATTTGCAAAGTATTGTGGTTTTTATTAATAGTTTATTATTTAGGGGAAAATAATTCATTTATCATTGATTCGGATTTGTGTGAGTATTGCATTAAACATTACATAAATGTATGTTTTTGTAGGCCCAGTTTACAATATTTAAAGCCTAAAATTTTTTATGATATTTATGTTCACTGCAAATAGTTATACCCTACATAACTATGTTGTCGGGGTATTATAGCTTTGTGCAGTCCCAAGAATTTGTAACGCCGTGAAATATTGGTCCTAGACCCACCTTTAAGTATCATATCTCGACTAGCTGAGTCGATCTAGTAAACTTGTAAACACGATACAGGTCCCAGTTATGGACCAGTCTTCACAAAATTATGCATGTAGGATGGGCTCTGGTCAATAAAGACTCCTATTGCTTGTGGTAAAGATCGGTCAATATTTAGCGGGTCAAATGGACCCAGACTTTTGTGTGAAAATGGCAAAATTTGTATTCTATTTCGTATATATTTACCCCTGAAGGATATAGATCCGAGAAGTTGATAGTATATCCATATACATTTATACATCCGAGTACATTTTCATATGTATTCGGATGTGGGATTTACACTTAAGTATTTACAGGTCCTTACGTATTCATATACTATTTAGTAACCCATTAACATTAGAGGGCGGAAATATAGTGCTAATCGTTTTGAACTTTTCCATGAGCATACAGGTATGGTCAAGATTAACGCCTATAATTATCGTTGATGATCAGATAATAATATTGGGATGAAGTGGACCGAAAACTTAATTTTTTGTGTTTTTTTTTTTTCAATCGATCTATAGGCAAGAATTGAATGCCGAACATCACAACACAACCCACGGTGAAGGGAATTTGGACAAGTAATTAAAAGGGCTGTACTGAATATTAGTAATATTTGTTGACCTCTAGTCGGTCAAAAGGGTGGAAATATCGCGAAATATTGTCCATGCTCAATATATAGTACCACAGAAAGTTTGATTTTCATGGAAGTTGTGTAGGGCATCATATGGTCGGCCCCGTCCGACTATACTGCTCCGCTCACTGGTTTACTATTACCATTACCTCACTGGAGGTCTGAAATATTGGGTTCATCACTTTGAAATTGAATATGAAGTTCCATTTATGGTCAAGGAGAACGCAATGATGATCAGATGATATTTAGGAAAGGAACATATTATTTTTTTATATTTTTAGTCACTGTAGAGGCCACTATTATAAGCCGAAGATCACAAATTTTACATGAGGATGGAATCTTGCCAATTAATTAGAGGGTCAAACAAGACCTTTCTGTTTAAAATTACAAATTTTGCATGTTATGGCGTAAATGTTCAAAGAGGAGCTGTGGCTTCTAATCGATCAGGAGGTTCCAAATATCGTGACATATTGCCCCGGCTCGGAATATAGATCCACAGAAAGATAGAGTTCCGAGATAATTGTGTAGGGTAGAATAGAGTCGGTAGGATAGAATAGGGTCCGAATCTCCCAAAACAACTGAGATACGAGGTCTGATGAAAAAACGTCTAAGCAAACGGGGCATAGCTTCACGGTGATATTCCTTATAGCGGCAAGGATTCATGATGCATCTCGACTTTGCAGTCGAAGAAATGGTTGATCAATTCTTGAAATTTGACTAAACTTGACTTGCTTAAATTGGTCGTAACTCTTTTGGACGTTTCCATTGGAATGACTGGGGCTGATTTCAATATCATTGACATACATTGTCCAGCAGTTATGGTTTTTTGAGGAAATCTGGGTCGTCGCTGACGATATTCAACAGCGTTAGTTTTGCCTAAAATTTAGTGAAGCACGGTTAAGACAAACGTTGGCTTAGTACGCAAATTATATTCAGTTTGAAACTGGTAGGTTTTACGTCCTTTTCCTTTGATTCGACTTTCTATTGTCACGGTCAATCACGGTCACCTTTAATATAAATGGAATACTTTTAAAATATTCAAGGACATTGCTCAGCTTCTAAAAATAACTTCAAATGTTCGAAGTCCTGTAATAATATTTTCTATCAATAACAAAATCTTTGTACACAAATGTGTTGACATATCAATTAGATATGCCTTCCGCCATTGACAAAAATAACATTACAAAAAAAAGTGTCAAGAGTCAATTAATAGTGATTTAATTCAGTCAAAAAATAAATATTTATTTTTTAAAATTATTGGAGAAAAAATTGTATAAAGGAAGTGTTCAATGTAAGCTACAGTTACAATAATATTTCTTTGATGTCAAAAAGGCAATCAATCATTAATTCTTCGAAAAGCATCTTTTTATTGTAAATCAGACTATTGTAAATATTATTTCCTTAGAAACAATTTCTTTGTGAAAAAAACACCCGAAGCTTGCAGACAATTGCCCTAAGGACGATAGCTATATTTAGAATATTTCATAAATTGTTCTTCAATTTCCGTTTGGCCTGTGTTTACAATAAAGTAAGATAAATTAAATTAGCTGTTTCAATACATACGTATATTTTTTACTGAGAAACGTAAACAGACAGTTCCCACTCTTCAGTCATTTTGGACATTTTGGCGTTTAGTAGACAAGCAAATGAAGGTCATTGAAGCATAAAACTGTTAAAGTCATTATTTAAAGCATGCTCGGGACTGAATTTTATTTAGATGTAAATCATATAATTGTGAACAATATCAGCATTAATTATGTACTAAATTCAAGGTTAATTGAAATATTGGTTAAAATTATATAGGCAAAGAGGATGGATTTTATTTAAACATAAACCGAATTATGCGCTCTAAATGAAAATAGGAAGAAGAATAATTCTACATATATTCTAACAGTGGGGAGACTGTGAGCGAAAACAGAGAGGTAGGTGTAAATATAGAAAAAAGAAGAAATTCCAATTGCGATCAAATTTTTGGTTGGTGCGCGCAAAAATTATGGAGGTTTTAATTTTGAGCCTAAGAAAAACCAGTAAGGAAAGTAGTAAAGTCGGACGGGGCCGATTATATGACACCCTTCACCACTTTGAGTATATTCAACAGATGAATCCTAACAGACGTCGCATTTTTAAAGGACCAGTTAAATGAAATTGGAACCATAAACCGATACTAAATTGTTCATTTGGTCAGATATAGAAGCTATATCTAAATCTGAACCGATTTCAGGAAACTTAACACACATCATTCTAGACCTAATTTGTTACGCTGTGCCAAATTTCGTGCAATTCGAAAGGTATATAGGGACTTTGGTGCACCATTTACATTAAATCGGACGAAAATATATATAGGAGATATATATAAATTTGAACCGATTTTCGGGAAACTTAACACACATCATTCTAGACCTAATTTGTTACGCTGTGCCAAATTTCGTGCTTAAATCGACTCAAAAAGTGATTCTATGCATATTCTCAAAAGGAACCATGTGTCTGCCTCGTTTCCTTTTGCCTGTTACAAACATATGCGCAAAGACATAATACCCTGTACCAGAAAAAAGAATTTGGTTCAAGAACCTCAAAACCTGGGGGCAACCAGAAGAATTGACCAATATTTATAATTTATAGTGGAGAGATGTGCTACCTAATAAGAACTCAACGTACTAAACTACAGTCAATTCGGTCAAAATACGATCAGAACCCCCAAAATACCAAAAATTTGGGGGTACCGTTATATGGGGACTACCAGAAAAACTGGACCTATATTTATAATTTTTAGTGGAGTAATTTGGTACCCAATAAAACCCAATGTACAAAATTTCAGAGAATTTAGTTAAAAAACGAGCCCAAGAACCAGAAAATACCGAAAATTGGGGGTACCCTTATATGGGGGCTTTCCGAAAAAATGGACCTTTTTTATAATGTTTGGTAAGGAGATTTGCTACCCAATAAGAACACATAGTACCAAATTTCAGCGAATTCGGTCGAAAAATGCGATCAAAACCCCCAAAATACCGAAAATTGGGGGTAATCTTATATGGGGGGCTATCCGAAAAAATTGACCTTTATTTATAATTTTTGGTAGAGTGATTTGCTACCCAATAAGAACTCAAAGTACCAAATTTCAGCGAATTCAGTTAAAATACGCGCTCAAGAACCTCAAAATACCGAAAATTTTGGGGTACCCTTATGTGGGAGCTATGCCTAAAAGTAGACCGATTTTCTCCAATTTCAATAGGGTTCGTCCCTGGGCCAATTAAGTGACCTGTGCCAAATTTCATTCATCGGATCATAAATGCGACCTGTACTTTGTTAACAAAAATACATGGACGGACGGACGGACATGCATAAATCGACTCAGAAAGTGATTCTATGCATATTCTCAAAAGGAACCATGGGTCTATCTCGATTATTTTTGCCTGTTACAAACATATGCACAAATACATAATACCTTAACACACATCATTCTAGACCTAATTTGTTACGCTGTGCCAAATTTCGTGCAATTCGAAAGGTATATAGGGACTTTGGTGCACCATTTACATTAAATCGGACGAAAATATATATAGGAGATATATATAAATTTGAACCGATTTTCGGGAAACTTAACACACATCATTCTAGACCTAATTTGTTACGCTGTGCCAAATTTCGTGCTTAAATCGACTCAAAAAGTGATTCTATGCATATTCTCAAAAGGAACCATGTGTCTGCCTCGTTTCCTTTTGCCTGTTACAAACATATGCGCAAAGACATAATACCCTGTACCAGAAAAAAGAATTTGGTTCAAGAACCTCAAAACCTGGGGGCAACCAGAAGAATTGACCAATATTTATAATTTATAGTGGAGAGATGTGCTACCTAATAAGAACTCAACGTACTAAACTACAGTCAATTCGGTCAAAATACGATCAGAACCCCCAAAATACCAAAAATTTGGGGGT